TGCAGGAGATCCCGGAGGTGGCCGCTCAGTAGGCGGGAGTGTGCCCGGCGCATGCGGCGATCAGGGGGGTGGGGTTAGGTATGTAGTAGTACATGGAGAAAGGGAAATCGACCGTAGAATAGAAATAGAAATAGAGATAGAGAGAAGGGGGAAAATGGGGGAGGAGAGATGGGGAGTGATAATGGGGTAGTGTGGTACGGTGCGGGGTGCAGCGTGGGGTCAGGCGGGTGTGCCCTGACAGGAGGATGACGGAAGGGTGGAGGCGTTGTGAGGAGGGAGTGTAGGAGTAGGAGGAGGAGTAGTAGGAGGGTGGCGGGAGGGGTGGTGTTTGGTCCGAGGTGGGTATCGGAGCGGATGGAGATAGGAGAGGAGAGGGATGGAGGAGTGGAGGTGGCATGGGAGGTGAGAGGAGGTGTGGTGTTGGGACTGAAGGTGAATATCGGAACGGACAACGGTAGGGTAGGACTCCGGAGGTGGTGAAGAAGGAGGTCCGGAAGTTGGGTCAGGATCGGGTATGCATGGATATGACACCCGGAGCATGCGGTGCACGGAGCGTGCAGGGCGGAGCACACATGCGGGTCCGGGTCCGGGCTAGTCAGGGTGTGTGCCCTGACATAAAGTATACAGGCTGGCCACACTCGGAAAACCAATGGCTCACATGTGACCACCTGACCCACACCTCCGACCTAGTTGAGTTCCATCAAACACACCCCCACACCCCAGGGAGAGAAAAAGAGAACTGCCCAGCCACTTTGAGGCAAAGCAGCTTAAGGGGGGGGTGATGTCAGGGCACACCTGCCTGACCCTGTGCCACACCCTGCGCCGTACTGCTCTACTCTGCTCCCCCCTGCTATCACTCCCCATCCCTCCTTTCCCCTTTTCCCCTTTTCTCTCTATTTCTATTCTACAGTCGATTTCCCTTTTCTCCATGTACCACTACATACCTGACCCTGCTCCCCTGATCGCCACACATGCTGTGTGCACTCCTGCCTGCTGAGCAGCCACCTCCAGGATCTCCTGCAGAGACACCCAGGGAGGTGCAGCTGTGTGCAGAGATGATGTGGCTTCCCCCACGTGACCCTAACCACATGTATATAATAGCACCTGGGGTGGGAACAGAAGAAGCAGCCTTCTTCTCAACTTCCCACTTCAGACTAAGTGGTTGGGGATGCTCACCCTGCGACGGGACCACCACTATGCATAGCCGACACCTGTCCCATTGAGTCCCTCGCACTGGGACCTCACCGCTTTCGGAGCTGTCCCTGACAGAAACCCTATTGAGACCTGTGGTGAGAACATGCTTCCGCAAAATGAGGAAAGTTTATTGAAACCTGGGTGCATCACAATCCTGGATCATCCTGGGTCATCCTCAGATTCTCATCCATGAACACCCCTACATCCCACATGGTCCTGACATAACACTTTGTTCTGTGTCACATATCCAGTATATATCCATATAAGCATGGTGTGTAAGGGCTGAGTGTGATATCTTATGTGATTGTATTGCATGGATGGAAGACAAAGGGGTCAATAAGCAAAAGTCTTTGATCAGATACATTTGGAATCACATTTTAATTTACATTTCATCAGACATATTCTCTGCATAATTGGTAATCCACAAGTCATGATCCTCCATATGATTCAGAGGCCACATTTGAGCAATTTCATCCCCATGAGACAATTCCTGAGGCAGGACAATGCCAAGAAAGGTTTCAAACTGCTGCTCAATTCCTGCTGTCGTAAGTATGTCATAGGTCTTAGGGCTTGAACCTCGGGCAGAGATCAAGTAGCGATTATATGAATCCCTTTGCAGCTCTTTGTCTTGAACATCCACCTCCAGCACCTTCAACTGTTTTTTGTCCTCAGGATTTTTTTTGCCCTTGGGAATTTGGTTCCTATGCGTGGATAGCCTATCTAGAGCACTCTGGTGCTCCCTCTTCAAGGCACCATATTGGAAGGACTTGGAATGCTTTGGGAGGGAGTAAGTGATGAACTCTGCTTCTCGATACTGGGAGTCGGTACCAAGCTCCATCAGCAGGGCAAGATAGGGGAGTGGGTCTTCAGGATCGCGGATAATTCCATTGGGTCGCAGGTTCCTTTGGGCACCAGTATCAGTATCTCCTTTCTTTTTGTTCTTGACTTGAATAACAAATCCCGACAGCTGGTCGCAATCAAAATTAGCCCCAGGATCCATGGAACCAAAATAAACCGGGCATAAGAAATCGATCGATGTTTGATTGAAGCAGCACTGCATTATGACCCCCCGAGCCCAGAGGTTAGAAAGTAAATTTCTGAGGAGCCTCGGTCAGCGAACACGTGAAGGAGTATACAAGGAATAACTACCGAGGAGGCGGCTCAGGTAAGGAAAAATCTCTGGCACCCCAATGTGTGAAATTGACAAATGCGTCACTGAAAGCCGTTTTGAAATCATCATCATTACACCAGTCCTTGCCAAAAAGCATTTCAAGGACGTCCAACAGATGAACGGGTTTCAGCAGGTTTCGGTGCCCCTCAGCATCAAATGGAGCCGCATAGTCGCGCGCGGTGAGGAGAAGGAAACGGGCAGCAAGTTCACCCATAAGACCCTTTTCGACCAGACCAGCAAGGCACAAATCTTGGCTCAACGTATCCAGAACCAAAGGTAACTGCCCAGGATGATCGTACAAGAGTAGTGCAGCACCCAAGGCCAGAACCGGTTCCGAGGGTGAATGAGTGTAGAATAACGCGTTGTCAACCGAGAGGCCCGTGAGGAGCCTCATGTGATGCGAGACGCTCCGATCGGCTAACATGACGGCCTCACGATTCGCTATAACAGGATCGAGGCAAAGCCGCTGTGAAAGCACAGCGAATACATGGCGCTTATCGTGGGGATGGAATCCTCCCTTATCACCGGCAGTGAGCTTGAAAGCCGCAATATTCACCAGTTCATTGCCTTTCTTGGGTAACATGGTGCGCCACCTAGCAGAAGTGAGTGGGTAATTGCCCTCGTGATCTGGAGGAAAGGACACACAATGGCCGCCCATATTGGCTGATATGCTCCATTGTTTCGAAATAACCGATCTTGACGGGTGTCAGGGATTTGGCATGCTCGCTGGCACACTGATCAAAACCAAGAGCAAAGTAGGGGGGTCTAGGCGAAGTTGTTCCTCTCTGAGTCTTGCGGAAACCACTGTGCGAAACAACAAGGTCTAGCTAGATAACTACATAAACACTCACTGTCTTGAGAACGAGGTGCAAAATACGCTACGCTTGCCTTCGTCCCCATAAAAACATACCACATTCTTACGGATTCGGCTTGGTTTTGCAATAAACGTAACATAATCCAGAAGCACATTCCCAACTCGTGAGCTTCATCAAAGTATGTGACGCACAGTGGGCCCTGGGGTAGGCCGTCGTAGGGTAGATCATCGGAAGGTGGTTCGCTGGGAAGGTTCTTGATGAACGCCATAAGGTTCTCAACCGCTTCCTTTGCACGCTCATAATAGGTCGGGGCAAGCCCGACGGCCTTTTCTGTTTCTTCCTTTGTTGCCCCATCGAGCTTGGGACTTTTCCCTGGTTTTGCATCATCACTTGAATGTAGCTAAGTCATCTATCAGCTTCAGCAGAGAGGACAAGAACGGAAATTTACCTGGACGCGTTCCATCACCCTTTTGTAGAACTCCACCCGAAAATCTCGTTGGCCTTCCCCCTCCATTTTCTGGTGCCAACGGCCAAGAACATCTGCCCTTGTGTAATTCTCTTGACGAAGCTCAACAACAATATCTTCGAGAGACTCTACCATAATCTCATGCGCAGCTGCAAGGAAATCAGTGATACCCGAAAGTGTGCTGATGCTAGGGCTATTGTCGCCGCACTTGGTCTTGAGCTCCCAAAAATAGGTGGACACGGGCTCGTCCGATAACGGGTAACCAGGATTATCCGGCCTACGAAGACAGATAGGGAGGGTAAAGACTCGTCTACCAACCTAGAGCAAATAAGGTCATTCCTTTTTCAGGATCAGAGGACAAACACACCTCCGTCAGCATACGCGATTTCCCAACCCCAGAGCTTTGGACTACTGAGATGGCTTTGGCATAACGTGGTCGGTTGCGGTTTCCCGGATCCCGGTCGAGTTGGTCAAGGTGCCTAATGAAAGTGAGAGGCGCACCACCAACAAAAGGGGAACGGTATGCGGCAGCAAGCTCTGGCTGCTAATCAGAACCCTGGAAAAAATACAAACTTTAGACTCACTTTGTTTATTGAGAAGCCTGTAAACAGAGCTACGTGAGTAAGAAGTAAGGTCGATGTTGAACAAGCGTACTTAGCAATCAATCGAAGATTTGGGGAATTGGTATCCCTAGCGCGTCGCAGTCTCACTTCCACTGTACCATCAATTAATGACAATCAGTGCCTTGAATGCTGGTTGGTACATACCATACTCGATCAAGGGCCTCCATCGATTCTGTTTGAGAGCATCAGTGATCAATCCCCGACATTCAACATTGTTGAAGTTTTCCACGGTCGAGGAGGTCTGTTCGTTGTTTGGAACAACATCGAAAAACGCCTTCTCCAGACCGATAGTAAGAGCACCCAGAATGTTTGGAAGGAGATCATTCCACCTTGCTGGATCCGCCTCGGCGATCTCTAGGAGGGTAGGCCATACTCGGCTAAATGGCTGACTGGCCCAACGGATCACACCTAAATCTTTGTCACTTATTCTTGCAGGAGAGGAATATTTCACATCTTCCATCTTGTCAGCCATCGTTGAACCTGTGTGACAAGTCGTCCGCAGCTAAGCCAACCTTGTGTCACGGACCTAACGGCGTTAAGGTTTAAATTCCCGCGACTCTGTAGCGGGTCTGGTAAATTTTTCGACCCTGATTGAATGCGTTTGATGACAAGGTCCTCTATTATTGCCAATTCTAGATAACCCAGGGTCCTCCCAACTCCTAGGTGGTTGTGCTTATGATATGCGTGCGAATTTAGTGGCTGTTCGCTCGGCCTTGCGTGTGGTCGAATTCATGTCAGTGCAGCATCCCACTACTACGTGGGAGGCAAATCAAGATGGCACATCGTTCTTTAGGTAAGAATAGAAGATCCCAATGAGGGAAACGTCTCTTTAACGGCTTTATCAGGCGACAGGAGGTCTACGCGATGCAATGGAGCGTTGCATCGCTCTCCGATTTCATCGTCGCTGGTGCGAAACGTGGTGGACCGATAGGTGAAATCCCATCGATCATCAGGTCTTTCCGTTTTTCTCAAGACGATATGTAGCACTTCGCCGAAATGAGTCAGTTACTGTGCAATATGCGCAACATACCACATCCAAGCCCCATGTACAGGTGTTCTCCTCTTCAGGTTACTCTTAGAGGCGCGACCGTATGTTCTGAAACTCATCTGCCCGCTACTGCCACAAATGAGTGGAGAATTCTCTGGGCCCTCCGGGGAGGCGGGCGTCGCGTTCGGTCTTCCCTCGCCAGCCACGGGGAATGTTGTCGATGATGACAACCTGCCGTCGTTGGCCGCAGCCTACCAACTTCATAGTCTTCAGTCATACCTTCCATTGGCAACTGAACAAACTATTGATGTACGCCATTTAGTCAAACAATAAGCCCAACATCTCACCATGTCATACAGGCGTTCTTGAACAACGGCACCTTGCTATCGTGGTCAACCGTATTGCATCAACACCTGTCCGAGTCACAGTGCGCCGCCCTTTTTACAAGCGCCTTTCAGGCTGCAGCGAAATGTGGGCCTCCGCTATCGGGTTGTACTTTGTTTCGTATCCGCGCTTGGAGTTTGAAGTGTCTCCTTTCAAGTCCCATTTTGAAGGAGGGACCTTTCTGGGATCAGGCGGGGAAATACTCCGCCTCCTACATTCGAGCTGTCGGCGATAACGCACGACAGCCGGTGGCTACCTTGTTGGATGACCTATTCTTGCAAGCATCGGAGCGCAAAGACGCCTCCAGATTTTTCCATGGGAAAGGATTCATCGGCATATGCGAGTATCGTTTGAAACTGGCTAGACTAGTGAGTGTTATCACTCTATTCAGGCTTTATCATGGCTGTTTTAACCCCCCCTTCCTTCAGACAAAGAGTCGCTCTGAAATTGACCGCTTCAAATCAATGCTCGAAAATGCGTCGAAGAGTCTTGAGTCTGACAGCCAAGATGACGATGTGCAAAAAGGCGCTGACCTCAAGGTCGTTCGGTTGTGTACCATGGTGTCGGACTATATTTCAATATTGGAGATTTTGCACTCCGATCCTCAAGGTCCGTTCTCCGAGGTTGTTGTCGGGATTTTCTGACTTCAAAAACCATGTAGCCGACTTCAGCGCTCTTCGCTTGGGTGCCTTAACCGTCGATGAATGCACCCAGCTGATTGCCGAGGGAGCGATTGCCCCTGAAAGCACCCGAAAGATCAACGCTGAGCTCAATAAACTAAGACAAAGGTGTACTCAACTCCTAGTCTCTCGTTTTGAGCATTTAGAAGCCGATGATAATGAAGTTGAAGCTTCTGTGGATGGCTCATCGCGACCAAGCACCCCTGTTGCGAGACGAACAAAGTCGCACGATGCTTTGCAGGGCGCATATACCGTTGCAGCCTCCAAGCTACTTTCCGCCGTATCGATTCACTTGGTAAATTCTCAGGTGGCACCCGTTGCGGAGTATGGTGTCTCATGCGTCGACTCACTGATATGCCTTGCTCGTATCAATTTAGCACAACCAGGCATTCACCCAAGAGCCATTCGAGAGTTCCTGGATCGAGCTGCGTCAGTTGCCCGCAAATTGGCATCTGAACTAGATGCCCAATCGAGTGCACTGTTGAAGTCCATATCTTCTGCCTTCTGGACTGTTGCGGTTACTTTATTTAATTGGGGTCAGCATGCGACAGCTGTACCTTTCCTGACCCAATCTTGTCACCTTGTACAAGAATTGCAAGGGTTAAAGTTGCCAAACGCGGCAGATCAAGGGCTACAGGCTAACCAACTTTCAATATCCAACGTCTTGCCTAAGCGTTGGGAGTTGCTTGGCTTCTGTCAGTCACGCACCGGAGATCGTAGGGTACGAAGCTACCTCCTTCCCTATGTCAGATCACTCATCTTCGCATCCAGCTTGCATATGATGCGTTTCAACGCGGCATTGTTTCTTCACGACATTTTTTCCCCCAAGTTGCAGGATCATCTCACCGGATTCTGCCCGCGGATATCTTTCTTTCGAGCCCTGGCATGCGATCCCTTGAGTCGCTCCTGGAGAGGTTGACGCTTTTCACAACCCACGAGCTGCTTGATTGTTCTCCCGTCACACTGCTTGACATTTTCTCTGACATGGACATTCCTATCACTGACGAGGAAAAGGAGGCTGTGGCAATGCTTATGGAAGTCCAATTGTCAACGCTCCGCAGACATCCTGGCTTTCGCTTAAAAGAAAGTCAAACAATGCAAAAGAAGATCATGGACAGCTGCCTCGTCGTATACAATCTGGAATATCCGATTCGCCGAATACGGTGAGCGCATCCTGAGAAGACGATGACTTGTCTAACATATGAGATGCAAGGATTCTCATGAAAATGTTAACATTTTTTTACCTCAATAACGATATCGCTGCTGCCATTGAAACCCGGAACGAACTTCAAAGGCTGCTGTGCCCAGATGCTCACACAGTCAGTGCCCCGAACCTGGACTCCATTTCAAAGCGATATGGAGACACTCGTGATGCTCTCCTGACACCTTTATTCCGCAATACATCGCCACTGTGTCGCTGCTCTCAGCTCTTATCACGCATCGTTTGGGGGATTCTGCCACACTTTTATGTGATATCCGCTCCCAAGCTTCTTTGTCGGTGATAATTTTTCGCGATTACGTGCTCCCTGCGCAATCCGAAATCGAACATAGTGCCTCTGGTGCTCTTAAAGAAATTCAGAACAGATCACCCAGGAGAAAACAGCGCACCAAGGGGAAATTGATGCAGGCGTCTAAGAGTGCGTTGTCAGCTCTCCTCACTTCATCCTGAGCCTTACGTTTTATAGAAACGACGAAGGCAATCAGTTCTACACCCATCAATTGTCTACTCGGTGCTACAAAGCCATCACAGGCGAAATTTGACGACATCGAGTTTGTCGACTCCCACCTAGGTCAGTCTTACGAGACTGACACAATTTGGGGTCTAATAGTTTCTCAGATCTTCTTGGGCGGATTTTCGGTAGTGTAGGGCTCATCGTCCCAAAATTGGAGGTTCTGCGAGTCAGATTGGGTCTGGCGAAGTTCCCTGGAAGATGGGAAAATAGTGAGTTCCACAGAACTTTGCACAACATCCTCACAACCTCCGTTTAGCCAGAATTAGGATTTTAGTATATTTAGCCCGGGAATACCGTCGTTTGGAATATTTTCAGCGCGCAACCACTATGTATGCCGAGGCCTTCGCGGTATTGGGTGATTACAAGGGCACTGTCACGAAAGAAACACAGGTGGAGTTATTCCTTCAGTACGCAGTCCACATAGCAAGCACGGGAGACGCAGATCAGGCGTTAGCAGGGTACAATAATGCTTTGGCACTGATGGAGATTATCGAAGCAGAGAGGCCATCATCGGGACCGAGCAAAGCTAACTTCCGACTCTCATCGTTACTAACAGCTGCACTGGCTTCTCAGGCATTTTCCTCCATCCAAATATCGAGGGTGTGTCCTTCAATGTTGAATACATCAGCCACTAAAGAACCTACAGGACAACGTGACAGCTGGGATTGATGGCTTACTGCAATCTCTCCGCCTGTGGTCCCGCGCTGCGGAACTACTTACTCGGTTGCACGAAACTTCCGTTTCTGCGCCGCCTGGGACACTAGACCATTCACCCAATCCATTTGAGGTTTCTGGAATCCCTGTATCCATTCTCAAGCCACCAAGCTCCAATCTAGATGTGGTACAATGGAAGGCAGTGGAGGTAAGGCTGCTTAGTTACTCTCTCACATCAATCCCTCAACACATCTTTTACAGTCTATAGCAGACATTCAACTTACCTTAGGGATAATATACTATACTCGTGGCTCCGTGCGTGAAGTGGAATATTTTCTCGACAAGGCTTTGGCCTTGGCTCAGCCTGTCAACGCTTTGGGGATCACACTTCGCGTGAAGCTGGTGCTAGGTGAAGTCAAACTCCTTTCGGCCAATCAGGAGGTGGGAGAAAAGTACTTGTCAGAGGTGGCAATGATGACAGAAACTGTAAGTTGCTATCGCTCAACATCAAGGAGGGTTTGTAACTGGCAATAGTTCGTTATCCTGGAGAAAATAAATCTCCATCGTGTATGGGGCGATTTCAATATGCGCGAAGGCAACATGGAAGCCGCAGGACGCGCCTTTGAAGCTGCGATGTACGCCTTCGAGACCCTTAGATCCGAATTCGAGGTGACCGAAAGCGGCCGAGGTGCAAACGATGGGGGCGATTCTACAACTAAGGATTTGGATTTAGTTCCATCAATTCTCGCACTGATTCTTCGCCAACAAAGTAAGCCATATATGTTCCTGACGTGGTCGAGGCTCTAAATGATATTGTGCAGTTTGGTTATCGCGGGATAATGCAGGGGCCAATTCCGATTTTGCGAAGCTCCTTGACCGATTCCTAGCGCTGTCCCACACAGATGTGACGAAGGCGGGTTTCTTTTACCATACTGAATCCCTCTTCTAACGTCTAATCAAATGAAACAGGGATTCGAGCATCTCTTGATGGGGGAGGTTGACATTTGAGGAAGTGCATGCACGATTCCGCGCCGACATCGTTCTTAGCTCTCTCCCAGAATCGAGTCAGTCATGCCAGTATTTCCGTTTCACAGATTCCCAAATATCTTTTGCTAACGCCCTTTCATAGCCATAGCAGTGCCAATGGGGATGACTGGAGATGTTGCGACACCACCAACGGCTACGCTGGAACTACTCGCCGCCTTGAGCACGGCAGAGAAATTCTTTTGGGCCTGCTTAGGGTCGGGTCGACCAATTGGGTCTTCCCTTCATCCACGAAGCGGTGAAATGCCTCGCACTTATCAGGACGTTCCAATCAAGCCTAGGAGTGAAGGCGAGGAATGGGTCGATAGTGACGGCGTCGCTTCTCGGTTAGGCTACATCCCTTATGGAATAGGGCGCACTCGCTGACATCCCTTATAGATCTTAATACTGCGTTTACACTTCGACATGAGCTTCTAGACTGTATCAACGTTAAGTCTTTATCGGTGATGCAGGACGACTTGCAATGGCATCGGATGTCTGCAACTGGATCTCCGCTCAGAGCTCCACCAGCTGGACCACGTAAGAAAACTACACTCTTCGCTGACAGCGACGATTCCGACGTCGATAACCCAAAGAATTCCTCGATGCATGATTACTGCCGCGAAGTCCGAGATCGTTACATGTCTCACTCCTGGAACCCTGTCTCCCTCACTGCATCCCAGATCGATCTGATTCCCCCTCACTGGACTGTCGTAGGCGTAAATGTGACCCAAGACAGAAGTACTCTCGTCCTGACTAGACAAAGAGCCTACCAACCACCGCTTATTTTTCACCTACCTATCGGTCGCCATGATCGGCGGGAAGATAACGATGAGCCCCGTTTCTCTTTTGAGGGTGCCATGGAAGAGCTGGGCTCGATTATAGCGAGGAGCAATGAGACTGCCCAGAATGCAAAGAACATCCAAGAAAGGGAAGGTCGCAGATTGTGGTGGGCGGAGCGAGCGGCTCTGGATCAGCGATCGAAGGCATTTGTTGAAAATGTTGAATACTGCTGGCTAGGTGCTTTCAAGGTTTGTAGCTTCTCTACGGCTATGGGATCATCGGCTCAGTTTCAATGGAAGGTCGCCTTCTGCGAACCGTGTGACGTTCCATTGGAGGTAGTGGATTCGTTCCGCACGAAATTAGAGCGTGTGTTGGGGAGAAATGGTTGTGTTCGTGACAGGAAAAGCAAAAGTCATCTGCACCTAGATGATGCCATCTTGAAATGTTTCTCCTCACTGTCTCCCAAATGCCGAGATGAGGAACTCGAAGACTTGGCATACTTCGTGCTGGACTTATTCCAGCTCCACGGTGCTCAAGTCGCCTCATTGGAGATAGATATTGATCAGGTACTTTTCAGCATCTTCTGCAGTCATTGGTAGTCGAGGCTAAAACTTCCCATGTTAGCTCGTCATCGATCTTCGGACTGTACTTGAGGAACATGCGCAAGCCCTCGCGAAGCATGATGTACTGCCACCGAAGGATTACCACCTCTTCTTAGCCCTTGGCAAGGAACTGCAATGCATTCCATGGGAGTCCATACCACTTGGGATCTTGATGAAGCTTGTGCTAATGCTTGGCACTTTGCCTCCTACATTTACTGTGTTGGTCAGTTCTCGCCCAGAACCGCAGGTTATCTCGGCATGGGTCGATGCTGAGGATAGAGGTTTCAACGTCCCATGCGAAGATGTTGATAAGATTGGAGAGGAGACTTTCCACACAGTCCGTTGTATGGTGGAGGAGGGCCTTCAGGATTGTGTGAAGAAATCTGTGTGGAAGCCGTCAGGGAAGGATTTTGATACCTTTGCTTCGGCTTGCCGTGGATTGCCTGTTATGGCCTCAATCCGCATACGTGATGTCTGTGGTCAGGCCCAACGTGGTTCTACTCTCCGGTCGGAGTTTGAGTACTTTCGCGATCTTACGGATGCACCACTTGACCTGAAGTCGGAGTATTTACGAATACCGCGGCGAGCGTATATGTCCAATCAATCCGGTATTCGTCCACGTGTGATTAACAATTACCGCCAAGTGATTGGGACGATGATTGCTGCATATCAGCCGCTCAACTTATATTCAATTTCAAAGTTACTAGGAGTGGCCGAGGATGAAATCCGTGCAACCCTGAATCCAATCAGTTCAATTGTAGCACTTTCCCAAAATACACCCTCTGGGAGATAGTGAGAAGTGGAAGGGAGTTAAAATCAAGGAGCAACCCGAGCATGTTCGATATGCTTTCCGCTACTTGTTCTGCCACTTGGACCCATCGAAGCTGTCCTCACAAGATTCCAATAGACTCTGGAGCGAGTTTGACAATCTTCTCAAGCGAAACTTTCGTTCATTGCGCTGTCGGGAGTTGATTTCGAGTTACCCAATGAATTCCTTAACTCAAACGTAGGTTTAAATCCTTTCAATTTTACTGTCAGCAACATGACATCACCTTGCCTTGCAGGATCACAATTCGACTGAATTGTTAAAAGAAGCCAAGAAGGTGAGGGATTTCATGACTAGAAACGAACTCAAGTCCTCCCCTTGGCATATTTATCGATCAGTCCTTCCCTTCACTCCACCCTCATCCCCACTTTTCAAGCTCTATGGACACCTTTCCGATCCCATTCGGATTTTCAGCATTGCGGGAGAATTTCCTGGCTATTCAATTCCACTAAGCGAGAATACACTCAATGCTCGAAAGGTCATGGAGGCTGAGCTGCCAAAGCTACGTGAAAAGGCTAATGGATCCAGGACAGGGAAGACTTTGATGGATGAGACAGAGGGCATCAATCGCAAAGCCGAATTTCTTGTTCCTAGTATCCGCAATGGCATTGTGACCGCTGCAGCACTCTCACGAGATGGCCATTTCATCGCACTTGGCTTTGGAAATGGTGTCATCGAGGTTGCTGACATCGACCATCACCAAACCACCTCTCAATTCCAATGCAACCCACCCAATCCTCCCGCTTGGATTGAATTTATCTGTGGCAGCCACCAGATTGCCACCGAAGATAATGATGGAAACATCACGGTCTTCAGCCATGGTTCGCCGTCTGTTAAGGTCGGTACCCTCCCCAGTGGGCATTGCCCTCCCGTTACTCTAGTCGCAGACAATGCCTCATTCATCATACGAGTTCCTCTGAACATTGACTGCCGTTGGTATGAAAACATGGTGATCTTATATGTTTCAGATGAGCCATCCATCCACCCTCTTTCCCCTCCTCGTTCCATTACTCCGGTCTCCAGGTCAACCATGCCTGACTGTTGCACACTTGGACTCTCCCCTGAAGGATGTTACGTCATCGTCCATGATGGCCATAATCTCGCTATTTGGTCATTAGAGACGCGTGAGTTGGTTCATTTTTACGTGTCTGGATCCACACTTCCCGTCTCCTACAACACATGCCCTCGCCCACATCTCATATCCCAAACCAAAACGAAAATCCCTCTGCACCTGGAGAATGGCATCCCTCGTGCGCAGAGCCTCATGGCTGGGCATGACGCAGATTTATCGTGGCTGGAGCGACTATCCCACGAGCTCTCTTCAGAGAAACCGCTTTCCATCCTCATAGGGCGAAATCGAGGTAAGACTCCTGAAAGGCGTGGAACACAGACGATCTGGCTCAATGGTAAACTTGAACTGCTTCTCCCACCAAACTACCGCCCGATCATTCTTGACAGGCACCAGATTAACAGTCAAAGAGTATGGTACGGGGATCGAATGCTGTGGAATAAGAATCGCCTCTACCTTCCTTGCGCTAACAAAGATGGGACTCGATTCTTGGTCCAAGGTCGCATGCAAGCCCCAATCGTTGTCGATATTAGCCAACTTGTCTAGTTCCTTTGCGGTGTTTACTATGATGCTTTTTTTCCTTCATTGTTTTGTACATGTGCATTAATGTATTTGAAAGTCGGGGACGAGCACTACATTATCCGCAGTGTCCGTGAGCCTTCATCTGACAGACCCAGCAAGAAGGGCTTGTTGGGCGCGCAGGCCTGCTATCATATAGAATTATTATGTTCGATAGACGTTACTGTGATGGCCGTTATTCCCTGCCCATGCTGTTGTAAATACCTATGTCGCATAACTGCGACATGAGCGATACATGAGTTAATGTGTAGAGAGTAAATAGTGACTCTCACCTTAGAGTCGAACGCGAGAACTGAGTTCCAAAGATTCACCCTTTTTATACCCGACCAATGGTCAGCGGCGAGATTGTCGTAATGGACGAAACCAACGGAAGGGAAAACAAACAAGCAAGAACTTTGCCAAAGCTCCCTGCCACTCATTACCCTTTCGATGTAACTCGACGTTGATATTAGGGGAAAAATGGATTTCATCTTATTGTTCATGGGACTCTGATTGGTTCAACATACATACCGGCTGTTCTCCAATCCTGCTATTCGGGGTCTTTCGACAACGCAGTCGAGACCAGCGGATAAACAAGGCCATCGTTAGCCCTTGATTTGAACAGTGGCACCGAAGCATGAGAAAGTGATTTATTGGTCCCGTTGCCTAGACTTGGTCCTCCATATTACCATAACATGCAGTTCGGAAACGTGTCGTACGTTCCTGATATTCCGGTTTCCCCCTTGAAACCCGAAGCTGAGGTAGGGATCCTGCTTGAAACAGAGGATAATTTCATCGTCATAATGCAGATATTGTGTTGTGAGGTGACCTGTGGTCGATGGAGAAATTGTTGTCACAGCCTCGATTGCATCAACACGCATAATACGACATGCCCGATCTGCGAGTGCGACTCTGTACCTAAGGTTTTTACACATCAGCACACCGAGAATACTCGCAATCCAGCTAGGAATTCCAGACGTCCTCAGGATCTCGATCCCGACAATGGTAGCACAAAGTTCGGAGCGTTATATTACTTTTCAGCCGGCAGTAAGTAAATCCACAGGAGTCATCACGACTAGTACATCTTTTGACTCCAACCAGTCGTTCCATACGCCGTTCGTCCCTCCGCGGTAAGAGCAGAGAAGCACTGGTACTATATATGAATCCGAAATCGGAGCGCTTTCGAGCTGTTGCCTGGCCGAAGACTTCCCCAACATGTATGACCGGCCAAACTACGTATCACCAGAATCAATCAGCGCTAGAGCTGACCGCCACCCGAAATTCCAGTGACGGCGAATTGACGAAGCCCTCTACCAGTTGTAGTCACGTCAAAGGGATCGGGTTGAGGGCCGCCCGTCGCAGCCGGGAGTCAATTGTAGACTCCCTGCCTCTGTGGCTTGGCTCAATTACCTTTTCTGTTGCTTCATCGTGAGGTAGTCGACCCAGCGAGCTAGGCCAGGTCACGAAAACCCTCCGGTTCAATAACCACTTATAAGGACGTGGCGCTTCCCGACGAAGTTATGCTCCCAAGTCAGATCTCAGTGTTGATCGGAGTAGCACCCAAGGCCCAACATCCCAACACGAATTTAAACGTGAGCAACAGCATATCTCTGGACACTTAAATATAACAAACCATGGCCTTTCGGCGTTTTCAGTCCGAATGAATATTATGCAGCTTCATGCCTATCTGAGACTTGATACCGTCGAATGGATTGCCCGGACTCATCTCCTTTCCAAACAAGGCAATGCTACTTTACCAGGATCGTTCAATCGGCTGTGCTTTGCATTGTGGTTGATGCAAGGCTGCTTCTTGTCTCGACTCAAGCGCTTCCGCATATATTCTGTGTAAGGGCTAAGCGGGCTTTCCGGGCTTCATATTTCAATCCTTGCGTTCACTATCGTCCACATCGTTAGCCGCGATGTCCGGAAAAGACCAGCTGCCACCCGCCTCTCGACATCAGAAAGGAAAGCTCCCTGCCTACCAGCCCTTTTCTCATGCTCTGCAGTCATCGGGGGCCGCACCTGAAATCCAGATCGACGGTCCCGAGGCAACCCAGAACCTCGATGATTTTTCCATAGGATCTCACCCCGAGCGATCTCTTCCGATCGTGCCAACTGCGCTGTCTTCCCGCAGCCTTGGTCGCTCGGCGACGTCGCCACTCCACCGCATAACCAAGTGGTTTGGGAAACGGTCAAGTCCCAATCGCCGTCACAAGTCTCCTCCATCCCACCCGGAACCGTCTGTGGCAAATATACGTCTTCATCCGGCTCCTGACACCTCGCGGCTGTCTCATCTCTACCCTGAACAGAATGTTGACGGTAACCGTCGGTCAACGTCCAGCATCCAGACTGTCGTCGACACCACTTCGAGTCTCCACTCACAACCAGAACGCATGGGACTGGATTCAGATGTGCCCTCCGTGTCAGAAGCGACGGCTCTGTCGCCGGCGGCACCAGCTGGTGATAGAAAGAAACCGGTCATTATTGGCACTACGAAGCTCCTTCTCCAAGTCGGTGCCTTCGCTCTCAAGGCTTCTCTCATTCCGCTTCTAGGAGAGATTCCCAATCTACTCCTAAAATTTCTTCAAGTCTACGAGGTGAGCAGCGTTTTAGTTTCAGGACCGGTGGCATGTGACTTATATATGTTTGTCCCCTTTTGATTATCACATAGTCCGTTGATAGTAATAGCGAAAACCTCAATGGGCTAAATGACGAGGTCCATAAAGCCTACACCACTATCTTGCGACTGCTCCAACTGTGGACGGACAATATCCCTCCCGAAGTAACGGTTTTAATTAAGGAATTTCATTCGTACGCACATTCTGTTCTTCAGTTACTCATTCATATTCAGATCTCGTACTCAGGGCCTTGAACGAGCAGATGAAGAAAATTGAGGAACTTTCGCGTCAAAAGCTTCAGAGGAGATTACTCTCAGCGTCTGATGTAACCCAGCACATAGACGCTGTGAAGACTTGCATTAACAAGGCTGTCATCTCATTCTCAGTTTGTTTCCTTAGTACCTAGTATGAACATGTTAGCTGATGCAAACATACCCATGCATAGACGGAGGCAGCAATTCTCACACTCCTTCACACAATTCAGTCTTCGGTGCGAGGTGCGTTTCTATTCACATGATCTTGGACTCTTTACTAAATCCAAATCCAAGATAGGTTTTTTTGGAGATGGCAATTCCTCGTAGTAAGCTGGTTCAATTTTCCAACCCGGGCACCGAGTGCACGAATTCATTTCGGACTAGCCAGCCCAGGCGCTCATTGTGTGTGGCTACCGTTATCCTAAGTGGGAATGTGGTCGATGCATAACGGCCGGTTCCTTTGATCTGCTATTTCAAGTCATCCGCCCTAACCTGGACGGGCATTAAGTAGTCTAGATAAGATCACAATTAAGAGTGTGGCCGTAGTTCATGGAGGCGCGGCCGCTTGGTTTGTGGTACACAAATAAGATTGGCACGTACGTTTGGTTACTCAAATCCAAGTAAGTATGCATGTGGCTCGTCTCATAGTACTCTTCAGTGTGGTAACCATTGCTTCTATATGTCAGAGAACACCGATGCAACTACTCATTGTGGCAGCCGCGTGAAGGATTATAAATATATGGAAACCGCCCAGTTTCCATGTGGGAACTCGCAGAGCATTCTCATGGACGTATTAGGCCGAGCTCTATGCGTTCTCTGTGACGTATTTGCTTATGTAAAGTTCCATGTGCCGAGGCTGCCGTGGATTTCAAATCCATCGTGCCCCACGCGCCCCGATCCACATCCTAACATCCCATTTCATTGTGACGTACATATCTTATTTGCCGATTCCCGGATTCCCGTGCTACGGCACACTCGCCGAAGAACCTTCATCCAGTTTTGTACGTACTCGGCCGCATCCTGATAATATTAATCGCGTTGGGATATATGACGCTCGTCTTCGATGGACTTCTCACTAGCCTCAAGGGAGACGATACCTGAGCCTAAGGTGTATTGATATTAACTAGGTTGACTTCAGGTTCAACAATCCGATCTACCATTACTCGCTCCTCGCGGACGTCGTCACATCCAGATACTCGCACAATGAAGACTAGCATCTTGACCTCCATCCTTTCCGTCGGTTTTTTCTTCCTCATCTCCCCAGCTCTCGCCCTCGTTGGCAGCATTTCCGCACCCACAACCGTTCTCCACCCAGGTCATAAATTCACCGTAACATTCCATACATCCCTCTACATCCAAAACAACCTCCAATTCTACGCTCTCTTCGGGATATGGCCTTCACCAGGCTTGGGCGAATCATACTTGGGAATTCCTATTCCAGCTGTTGGCCCCGTCCCTGGTGCAGATGGTGGACTAGGATTGGGTAACTTTCGAGTTGGACCCAGTGGGAAGGGAAAGCTGGGCATCGATGTTGGTGGGATCGATTTGTGGGAAGCAACGTTAGCGAACACTGGGTCGAAAGCTTACAACGTGACGTTGAGATTACCTGTGGATTTGACGACGCCGGGAAATCGAACGACGAACTATACACTTCAAACGGGTGTGCTTGGGACGGTATGTTATTACTCCCCGCTTATTTTCCCCGGCTTCACGCATTTATAATTAACACATTATATCTCTTTCCCTTCCTACCATTATTGCGTTGAAATCTTATTCACACTCAACCACATCATATTTACTGGCTGCCCAGGTGGGAGCATCCGGACTGACAACGCTGTCCTTTCACAACACGACAATCAGGATCAAGTCACCCTAATCTCCCGGTGGTCCCCAGTAATATCGACCCAATCAGCAACGTCGCATCGATTCCCCTTTCGTCGTCGGATGAATACTATGTGTAGATAGATCCCTACATGCAGTTCGTTTAGGTCCTTGGACACACACGATTGGCACGCCTCTCATGAGACCCCTTTCCATCACTCACAAACGGAATGGACGTTATATTCGGATTCCTCTGTATACACTTCTGTATCTACATTGGCTCGAATGAAACTCAGACGCATTGGACGATGTATTTTTGGACTGCCTAAATTTTGGAATTAGAGTGCCCTGGGAATAACGGTATCATATTGGCGTAGGTGATTGCCACACCCATTGGTGCAGTGGTGCAGTTAGCTCGGTTCGTTATACCCCTCGTACAAGTCCAACAGCGAATGCACACACCGGCGAGTTATCCCTACTTCCAATACCCAGAGTCGGTCAGATCTTCCGGGATGGGATCGTCATCCCTGTTCTTATGTGGTTGCTTGAGCGAGGCCTTAACTTCCAGTGTTATTTCTCACGTTGCGCGCCACTTCTTCTCATTCGTGTGAAGGAGCGCATCTCTGAGTCATTGGGCCTGAGGGATTCAAAGTGATCATGGCCTAGTGGCGAGATGATTCGCTTAGTAAGGGAGGGATCTGTCTTGGCCCATGTGTATGTGTGATAATGCAGCCCGGGTAACCCCATCAGAGGACGACGCAGAAGTTTATTGGCGCGAATGGAAAAGGGATGAGGGAACAGACAGCTGATGTCTGAAGAATCATGATAATATTCTCGGATGGGCGATCGAAGAAGATCATGGCTAGAAGAGGAAAGCGAATGTACTTGCTAAGCCCCACGACGGACGTGCTGAGGCACGGACAAGACACCTCTGGTTGGAAGTAGGCTCGAAACCAGAGGTGTTTTGTCCGCGCCTCATCGTCGGTATAGATTGCTATTGTGCAGGATACAGTATCGGCTGATGGCGCAAGAACTGACTGCCACGGCCGAAACGTCGGTGGGGCGAATCGACGGAGCCCTCCGCCAGTCGTAGTCGCCCAGCCTTGATCGAAGTCGCAGACAAGTTGCTCAGATTCGTTTTTCAAGAACATCATAACGGAGTACGGTGTGATGATAATACTGCATACAGTTTGGGTCGCTTAAAATCCCACACCTTTGTTACACGAACAGCCGATGCTTATTTGACCTCGGATCCGGGAGTCACTGCCAGACCTTTGCGTAGGTCCAACTGCACAACGAAAGGGTTCTCCTCCCCCTTTTCCGACAAAGCCCTGTCCATCCAGGACGAAGATTGGTTGAAGAGGGCAGTGAACTGCAAGCTAACCCATTCGATCGCAGGGTACGTGGCGAATGTGTGCCCTCGAGCATAGATGCACCATCGAGGGGGCTCCTCGTCTTAGTGGGTAGGCATGTAACCTCCCCATCCATGGCTAGGGACGTGCGGATGTTGCGCAGGCCCAAGAGTGAGTTGACACAGTTTTCCTGTTGTTGATCCAAAACCGCAGTTAGTGCCCAGATCCATGAACGACACCACAGTCGACTGAGGCCTCTGGCCCTCGATACGAGGTCGAGCAAGCTCCGAAGGAAGGCCAGAAGTAGATGCATCAACACGCAGCTCCGATCGCCAGGCTATGTAATTGAACCATTTCAATTCAAATGGGTCATCAAGCGCTCCACTCTGGGTAACAATGAACTCGGCGATACAAGGCTGTTGAGACTTGCATCGAAATGCAGCACCACGGCACCACGCCTTGCAGAGAAAATCAAACGACAAATTGTCAACGTCTTCCGTCCGCTGGACGATGTGCGTGAAGTTGATATGGGCATTGTCCATTTCGTTCAAGAACTGGAGGCTCTGATCATTGGGGGGAAACCCGAAATTCTCACCAAGGAGGGTGGTCAAGAACACTTTTGACGATATCGTAGGGACCTGCTGAATGCTCTTGAATGCACTTGCCCAATCCCGCGCAAGTGTCAACAGAATGCAGCCGAACAATTCGGCTTGACGACTTCGCTTGAGGATGGATCCGTTGATCATCAGGTTATCAAAAAATGTCTCAAGGGTTCTCTTGTATGTTTCCTGCCCATTAGCTCCTTCATGGCTGCGACCGCCAGTGCTGGCTCGGAAGGGGTGACAGTTTCAATATGCGAACAGCCAACGATGTCCCTCTGGATTCGTATATGGCTGCGGACGCCTGAGGCAGCAAGAATTGATCCAGATTCATTGGGGGAATGTTGCAAGAACATGGTCAATATCGATGGGATTAAGATATAGTGACCTTGAACACTTGTACAGTTTCCTCCTGGTAGCGGACAGGAAATTAGTTGCAGCATACGTGGACCAGTACTGAAGCCAAACACGATGCAATGTTCCATGCGATTAGAAGTGGGAATGGAGTAGGGCTAAAGAGGCGTACCGGGCGGCCGTAATTCTTTAAATAGCTAAACGACAATGCCTCTGGGAGTCCTTGCTAGTGAGTGTACCATTACATCAAAACCTAAATATGGCCAAGGCGGAAGCGTCGTGGGATCAGGGTGCCGGGCTGGCAATCGTGGGTCGAGGGAAAAAGTAATTCAATGAGCGGTAATTCCCATGTAGTTTAGGAGCGGGATAGTCCGAAATGAATACAAAAGAATGAATAAATAGATGTGGCTGGGCGAGTTCCTCGCTCGGCCGTGGGAATGTGGCTGTACAAAAACTCGCACGGCCGCGCTAGCGCGCTGTTTTCCAACAGCCACCAGCTCATCTGGCATTGTTGCAAGAGGCTGCTTCGAAAACTGATTCAAAGGATTCCCCAAGCGACACAGATTTGTAGGACCAGGCACACATTTGCGTCTCAAAATCGTCATTTGGATTACGACCGAGGCATTCGTAAACCTGTTTGAAAAGTGCCCCGACAAGGGCAGCAGTCATTTCTTGCTCCTAACGGGATCGGTCGACCTCTATTACATAATCAAGATACTAAATACTCGACTGAATTTACGGATCGACACATGGCGGAGGCCGTCTGGACAGGAGGCTCCCTGCCAAACTTCCTATCACCGGAATCGATCAGCACTGGTACCCCTGTGACGACGAAGCCCTCCACTAGTTGCAGCCACCTCGAAGAGATGATGAGGTTGGGGGCAGGGAGTCAATTGTATACTGTAGTATAACGACCGTTAGTTCATTCCCACGGCCTCCGGAAGTTGCCGGAGGCTCCAAATCAATTCAATCATGTTCATTTTCAATTCAATCCAAAATCTTCATGCGACATGCGACGAACTTATGGTCGTTATAGTACAGTACTCCCCGGCTCTGTGGCTTGGCTCAATTGCTTTTTGTGTTGTTTCATCGTGAGGTACATAGTTGCTCACAAGGACGCGGCGCTTCCCGACGAACTCATACTGCCCGACAATGATACCCAAGTCAGATCTGAATGTCGGTATCTGGACATTTAAAACAAACGATGGCCTTTCGGCGTTTTCAGTCCGAATAAATATTACGCAGCTTCATGCCTCTCTGGGTTATTTGGGACTTGGTACGGTCGAAAGGTCCCTTTCAAAACAAGAGGCAACAATACTTTCCTGGGATCGTTCAATCGGTTGTGCTTTGCATCGTGGTCGATGCAAGGCTGCGTTTTGTCTTAACTCAAGTGCTTCCCCATATATTTTGTGTGAGGGCTATGCGGGCTTTCTGGACTTCATACTTCGATCCCTACGTTCACTATCGTCTACACCGGGGCCGTTAGCGCGATGTCTGGAAAAGGCCATCAGCCATCCGCCTCTCGGCGTCAGAAAGGGAAGTTTCCCGCCTACCAACTCTTTTCCCGTGCTCCGCAGTCGTCACACGCATTAGGGCCTGTACCTGAAATTCAGATCGACGGTCCCTCAGGAACCCAGAGCCTCGGTGATATCCGGAGCAGTGGACATGATGGGTCAATAGGGTCTCACCCCGAGCGATCTCTTGCGATCGTACCAACTGCGGCGTCTTCCCGCAGCCTTGGTGGCTCGGAGACATCGCCACTCCGCCGTACAATCAAGTGGTTTGGGAAATGGTCAAGTTCCAATCGCCGCAGGCCAACTCTCTCCCATCCAGGACTATCTGTGGCAAATACACGTCTTCATCCAGCTCCTGACACCTCGTGGCTGTCTCATCTCTGCCCTGAACAGAATGTTGGTAACCCTCCGTCAACGCCCAGCATCCCGACTACAATCGACACCATTCCGAGTCTTCACTCACAGCTGGAAAGCATCGGATCGGACCCAGAGGTGTTAGGGCCAACGGGCCCACCGCCTGCCCTAGCTGGCGATAGAAAGAAACCGATTATTATTGGCACCACGAAGCTCCTTCTACAGGCTGCTACGTTTGCTCTCAAGGCCTCTCCCATTCCGCTTCTGGGAGAGATTCCAAATTTGCTCCTGTCGTTTCTCCAAGTTTACGAGGTTTGAGCAACGTTTGAGTTTCATGATCGGTGGTGGCATATAGCTTATGTTTGTCCGATCTTGGTTTATGTAGACCGTCGACAGTAATAACGAGAACCTCAAAGGGCTGGGCGATGAGATTCGTAACGCTTATACTACCATCCTGCGACCGCTCCAGCTGTGGACGGGCCAGATCCCTCCCGAAGTAAGGGCTTTTATCAAGGAATTCCATTCGTGCGTACCTGCGCTCCTTCATTTACTTATTCAAGTTCAAACCCCGTACCCAGGGCCTTGGACAAGCAGACGAAGCAGATTCAGGCACTTTCGGATCAAAGGCTTTCGAAGAGAATAGTCTCGGCATTCGACATAACGCAGCGCCTAAACGGGGCGAAGGCTTGCATTAGCAAGGCTGTCACTTCATTTTCGGTTCGTTTCCTTTGTGTGTAAAGCGTACGGGTTAGCTGATTGAAACATACACCACAGACAGAGGCAGCGATTTTGACACTTCTTCACGCAATTCAGTCTTCAGTGCGAGGTGGATTTCTATTGTACGGGGTTTTGGACTTTTTACTAAAGACCACTACAGCCGAACTCTCAAGACTTCCGCGGGCTGCTGCTGAGCATGCCTACGTTACGACCAAGTCAGAGTGCCTTGAAGGTACACGGGAGAAGGTACAGGCATCTATAGTCAAACTTCTGGGGAAACCAGGGAGCAGATTTGTCTGGCTGCGAGGCTCGCCCGGAATGGGGAAGACTGCGATTTGCCTGAGCATTGCGTCCTACTTCGAGAACCAGGGCACCCTAGCTGCATCGTTCTTTTGGGACAAGAATCAACCGGGAACGGGACTCGATTCTATTCAACAGTTTCCTTCCACTCTTGCATGTCAACTCGCATCCTTCCATGAGGAGTTCAAGCTTGCACTTGTCAAACATCTTCGGCAGCGAGGTCTTGAGCCCGTGCAGAATCTCCCTCTAGAGAAGCAAATGAGGGCTCTGGTTGTTGAGCCTATGGGTGATCTTAAGGACTTACTGTTGTCGAGCAAGGACCGCTTCATCATCATCTTAGATGGGTTGGATGAGTGCGGGGATCAAAGAGCACTCCGTACCTTGATGGAGCTTGTGCTGATGCTTGATGCTTTGCCTCCCACATTTATCGTCTTAGTCAGCTCTCGCCCAGAGTCACAAGTTGTTTCAGCATGGGATGATGCTAAGGATGGGGGTCTTGACATCCCATGCGAAGATGTTGATAAGATTGGAGAGGAAACTTCCCACACAGTCCGTTGTATGGTGGAGGAGGGCCTTCAGGATTGCGTCAAGAAATCTGTGTGGAAGCCATCAGGGAAGGATTTTGATACCTTTGCTTCGGCTTGCCGTGGGTTGCCTGTTATGGCCTCGATCCGCATACGTGATATCTGTGATCAGACCCAACGCGGTTCTACTCTCAGGTCGGAGTTTGAGTACTTTCGTGATCTTACGGATGCACCACTCGACCTAAAGTCGGAGTATTTGCGAATACTGCGGCGAGCATATATGTCCAATCAATCTAGTATTCGTCGACATGTGATTGACAATTACCACCAAGTGATTGGGATGATGATTGCCGCATATCAGCCGCTCAGTTTTGGTTCGATGTCACAGTTACTAGGAGTGCCTGAGGACGAAATTCGTGCAACCCTGAATCCAATCAGTTCAATTGTAGCATTTTCCCAACGAGAATCATTGTCCCATGATGGTCCACTATCCCCCACATTCTATCACGCGACAATGAAGGAATCCCTTACGGATCACCCGATTGGTTGCAAAAGTGATCGACCATTCTTTGTCAGTGATTCGAAGGGATATTTCTTGGGCCTGTCACTCCTCCGACTTGTCAATAACGTCATCGAACACAATGAACCCAAGATACACCCTCTAGGCGATAGTGAGAAGTGGAAAGGAGTTAAAATCAAGGAGCAACCCGAGCATGTTCGATATGCTTTCCGCTACTTGTTCTGCCACTTAGACCCATCAAAGCTGTCCTCACAAAATCCCAATGAACTCTGGAGCAAGTTTGATATCCTTCTCAAGCGAAACTTACTTTCGTTCATTGCGCTGTCGGGAGTTGATTTCGAGCTACCCAATGAATCCCTTGTAGGTTTAAATCCATTTGATTCCTTTTCAGCAACATGACATCACCTTGCCTCACAGGATCACAATTCGACTGAATTGTTAAAAGAAGCCAAGAGGGTGAGGGATTTCTTAACTGAAAACGAACTCAACTCCTCCCCTTGGCATATTTATCGATCAGTCCTTCCCTTCACTCCACCCTCATCCCCACTTTTCAAGCTTTATGGACACCTTTCCGATCCCGTTCAGATCTTCAGCATTACAGGAGAATTTTCCGGCTATTCAATTCCACTTAGCGAGAATACGCTCAATGCTCGAAAGGTCATGGAGGCTGAGCTGCCAAGGCTACTTAAAAAAGCTGATAGATCTAGGACAATAAACCCTTTGACGGATCCGGATGAGACAGATGGCATCGATCACAGAGCTGCGTTTCTTGTTCCTAACATTCGCAATGGTATTGTGGCTGCTGCCGCACTCTCACGAGATGGCCGTTACGTTGCACTCGGCTTTGGAAATGGTGTCATCGAAGTCGCTGACATCGACCATCACCAAACCACCTCTCAATTCCAATGCGACCCGCCCAATCCTCCAGCATGGATTGAATTTATCTGTGGCAGCCATCGGATTGCTACTGAAGATAATAAAGGAAATATCACGGTTTTTAGTCATGGTTCACCGTCTGTGAAGGTCGGTACCCTCCCCAGTGGGCATCATCCTCCCATTACCATGGTCGCGGACAACGGCTCATTCATCATACGAGTTCCTCGGAACATTGACTTCCGTTGGTATGAAAACATGGTGATCTTATCTGTTTCAGATGAGCCATCCATTCACCCTCTTTCCTCTCCTCGTTCCGTTACTCCGACCTTCACATCAGCCACGCCTGACCGTCACACACTTGGACTCTCCCCGGAAGGACGGTATGTCATTGTCCATGATGGCAGTAATATTGCTATTTGGTCAACAGAGATGCGCGAGTTGGTTCGCTTTCACGTATTGGGTTTCACACTTCCCATCTCCTACACCACATCCCCCCGCCCACATCTCATAACCACTGCCGGAGCGACAATTCATTCGCACCCGGAGTATGACATCCCTCAAGTGCAGAGCCTCATGGCTGGGCATGATACAGATCTATTGTGGCTGGAGCGACTATCCCGTGGGCCCTCATCAAACCTCTCACCAAGCCTCGACGACATCCCTGATATGTGTGAAGACACCACACAGACGATCTGGCTCAATGGTAAACTTGAACTCCTTCTCCCGCCAGAATACCACCCGATCATTCTTGATGGGCACCAGATTAACAGTCAGGAAGCATGGTACGGGGATCGAATGCTGGGGGGTTACAATTTCCTCTATCTTCCTTGCGCTAGCAAAGATGGGACTCGATTCTTGGTCCAAGGTCATTTGCAGGCCCCGATCGTTGTTGATATTAGCCAAGTTGTCTAGTTCTTTTGCTGTGTTTACTATGATGCTCTTTCCCATTACTGTGTTTGAAAGCGAGGGACGTGGGATGAGCACTGCATTATTCTGCGATATCCATCATGTTCGATACAAGCTTGGTTATTCACTGCCCCCAGATTGCACTTTGCATGCCACTCTTTTGACTCACATCGTCCAATGGGCTGTGTCAGTGGCTTTATGGATAATGCTACAGCATATGGAGAACACCCAGTTTCCACGGTGCGACACGAGTCGATGTGTACCACAAAGCTGCCTGTTGTCCAGCGATGTGCTGGAGATCAAGCTCGAATGAATGTATTTAATATTTATCATTGTTTACATCGAATCAATAAACTTAGCAGTTCCATCTCCTTGGCCTGACCTCTCATGGACATATTGTACTTGTTGAGTCTGTTAATCAGCGGGAGATAGACTAGAACGCGATGTCTGTTGTTTGAGCAAGACATGACGACGTGCCGGTACACATATCATGCCCATATCGGCTATCCGATATGATACCCTTTTACCATGTGTTTCGTGTTTCACTGTTGATTGCCTTCCACATGTAGCGCTGTTGTGTATCTCATTTTCTTATCACTTTTGTCTGATATCCGTGTTATTACTTTAACTACTTATACCGCTGTGCAGTTACAATATCAAGTTGGTTGTTCCCCGTTATCCGAGTGTCCCCGCTGAGAGCTACATAACAACAATGTCAAACGTGGTTTTGTTAGGCAAGATGTAAACTATGTACAATCTGTAAGGTTGAGACTTACCTAGAGTGCGATGTCAAACGTGGTTGAGCATCGCACTCAGGTAATCCTCGCCCATTTATGTCTATCTAACTATATAACAAAGCAGATAACAATGGTGAAACTAGTGCCTCTGATGCTTTGTGCAACTAAGGGTTTGCCACTCGGCAACACTTTGCCTGCAGCTCCACCTCCCATGTGGCATCGGGCTGCCATGACAACAGGGTCAAACTCTAAGAAATGATGTGTGCGCTTATGTAAGGGCTCTGCACACCCCAACATTCAACTCCAATTCATATCCTAACCTCCCATTGTGACGTATCTTATATTCTCATGCCAGTGTTGCACAAGACCAAGTCAGACTCGTGGTCATGGGGACTCTGAGTCAGATTCAGTGTTGTACAGACCTGGTCACAAACGGTCACAAAGACTGAAGTCCGTAAGTCTGACTAGATGGTCACAAGTCTCTCTCATGGTCAGTGTAAGTTAGACTTTTCATTGGGGGATCCCGATATTCAGACCTGTCTGCAACCTTTCTTCATAGGATATGTTTTGTTTGTTATGGATTAGATGTTGTAATGACTATTTGCTAGCACACAAGAGATGCTGAGCATGATTCTACTACAGCTTGAGTTACACAACTGTGACTTTGCTGCCTGATTTGCCATGTTTCATGTTAGGATTTTTGACAACTTCACACAATCCCACACAATTCCACCCCCCATCCTCCTCTAGTTCACCATGGGTGTTTCTAGTCCTATGTGGGAATACTTCCACCAACTTGAAAGGTTTTATGGAAATAATAAAAGTCACTGCGTTGCCAAGTGCAACATCAGCAAAAAATTGTTATGCTCCTGAGTGCTCCGGAGTATCGGGAGCACTGGGAGAATCAGGAGGAGATTGGCCGGTCCAGGAACAGCTCATTTCCTCCGGAGTTGGTCAGGTACTCCAGGGCACTCCCAGGAGGGCATGGAGCATTGCTTTGTGCACAAACATATCCAGTAAATACAATTTAATGCTTCAAAATGTATAGGGGTGAGAAGCTTCTGGGAGCTCCTGGAGCATTTGAAAATGAAAAGGAAAAAAAAGAGCAAAGACTCCCCATGAATACCTCCTACCACAAGACTAACACAACAAGACACTACTTAACATTTAGGTCAAACACTATACTATACATCAAGGACACTGAGACTCACCAATACACAGTCAAAATTTATGGCCTGATATATGATTAATCTGGCAACTTAATCACTTTTGGACTTGCAGAATATGGAGGAAGGGGAAATGGGGGAGAATGAGGGGGGAAATGAGGGGGGAAATGAGGGGGAGAATAAGGGGGAGAATGAGGGGGGAATATAGAGGGAAATGAGGAAAATTTGAACAATAGGGACTTCTAAAAAGTTGAAAAAATAATTAGGGAAAAAATCAAAAAAATTCAGGAACTGTAGTGCCTTTGAAGTGCTTTCAGGATATATAATTATTTGTGAAATTGAGGAAGAAATGATGGGGAAAAATGGAAAATACTTTCGGAGACCCGAGAAATAATGAGAACTGAATTGATGGGAAAGTCTGAAAATTGAATAGGAAAGTGAGGGGAAGCCTTGTAGCATTGTTATTTTCTGCTGTTGTGATTTTTCCCGATTCTTCTTGGTCTCATTCCCAGCTGCTCCTCAATACTCCTGGAAGCTCCTGAAAGCTCCTGGGAGGGTCCAGGAGCAGCTGGGAGTGGGACCAAGAACAATCAGGAAAAATCACAACAGCAGATAATAACAATGCTACAAGGCT